GTAGCTGGAGGCACTTCAAGGCTGGCAAGGTTTTGCTCACGGGCATCATCATGTCATGTTTTTAGGTCTCCTTAAAGTCCAAATCAGGGAAAACGTGGAGGGTTTTTTTGTTTTGTTTTGTTTTGTTTTGTTTTTTTTTTACAAAAAAGGCATACAATGAGACTAACAATCTTGTTAAGATGATGCACTTAAAAATCATTAACAAAGTTTCCAGAGTTTGCTAAGAAAAGGACATTTTCCTCTCAAGTTAAAAATACACACACATACACACATATAATACTAATCTATTTATACTTTAGGGCAGGGGTCCTCAAACTATGGCCCGCGGGCCACATGCAAATACAAATATTGTATTTGTTCCCGTTTTGTTTTTTTACTTCAAAATAAGATATGTGCAGTGTGCATAGGAATTTGTTCATAGTTTTTTTTTAAACTATAGTCCGGCCCTCCAACGGTCTGAGGGACAGTGAACTGGCCCCCTGTTTAAAAAGTTTGAGGACCCCTGCTTTAGGGCTTAGCCTACATGTAGTTTCAGATGTGGGTTTGTGTTTTGATGGTCAAGCTCTAAAATAATGAAAATAGCTCCAAATCTTTAAACACAGCGGTGCTAAGTCATACCAGTAACACCACACAGGAAGTGCTGATATGAATACATGTACTCAGTAATAACCCAAGAGATTTTGCTAAATTATACGCGTGTATCACTGCCTGATGAAAACCCCCACAATCCAGTACAAAAATCAAACTGTGATTCCAGAGTCTTTTTAGTGGGTAAAGGGACCCAAGAGCTTTGTTTTATATGGAGCACTTTTTTTTTTACACCAACTTCAAAAGTGCTTAATGACAGGTTTATTCAGGATACGTGAGCATGCTCTGCTTTTTTCACTTGCTGGAAGAGACTTCCACCTAGCACACCTTCTCTTAGAAACTGTGTTCTCCCTAAACATAGCGGGTTATCTGTTAGGGCAGGTCTGTGCTAGTGTTTTCCACATCTGTCATCTTCAAGGGGTGATGTCCCATCCACAGTGGATGCCACTTGGTGGGAAGTGTTAATAAATAGCCGGTTTCCCTTTTGGTAACCAGGTTATTGTGTATATACTTAGATTGGCTTCGTTTTCACATTCTATCCTCTCTGCCTCTCTGCACTTCAGATTCTTAGGCTATTTAAAAATTATTGGGTTTTGGCAAACACCGACTGAATGTGTATGGCAACTGCTTTCCTGAGCAAGCGTGACTTGATTTATGGCTGTTCCAGTGCTAAGGTTGTTCTCATATTGTAAGTTAACAAAATCTTGCTGTTTTTAACGGTCACTGTAACTTGAGGTTCAAATCACCGGCACAATTTTATTAGTCTTCCCTTCTGAAGCTAATAAGAGACCATGGTTTTCTATGTTACTCTCATTGTAACATCAATAAAGTGACTTTCAATGAAAGATCAATGTTCTTTTGATGCATAACTCCCTGTAGTCCTGTTTTTCTCCCAGCCACTGTTTGTCTTTCAGAAGCTATGTGTGGATACGGGTAAGGGGTTTTCTTTCTGTTCCGCACTGTCCTAAACGAGGCCGTCAGCATGCTTAGAGATGCAGTGGTCCTTCAGGAGAGGCTGGATGTGTCTGCTGGACGATTTCCTCAGCCAGGCAGCAGGCAGAGCCTCCTCCATCTACCCACCTGCTATGCCTCATCTTTTTGCACTTTCTCCCTGACCCTAACAAGGACCCGGCTCCGTACCCTGACCTAGAGCCCAGGCAGTGGGCTTATTTAACAGCTCACCTGTGGTAGACTCTAAAGCGATGGGCCTCGGAAGGCTGTTTAAGTTTGAGTTCATAGACTGAAAAATTGTTACACCTGCCGCTTCATCATCTGCCAAGCAGCAATTTCACCCACCATTATATATATATACATTTTATATTTTTATATATACAACTAGTCTTTACCCTGGAACTTGCACTTCCCTTGCCTTTAGCTCTTAGTCTGCTGAGGAAAAAAGTAATATGTGAGAAAAATGGATTAAGGGCTTGCACATGTATTATAACTAAAAAAAAAACACAAAACTTATGGGGATTACATAGAGCTCCATTTCTTTTTTTGAGCTCCATTTCTTGTATTTATATTTTAGGCATATATAAATATTCATTCAGATGTGCACTGAAACAGGGATGCACTCAGCTGAGTGAAGGCAAAGTCTAGTTCTGAACGAGCAGAGGTTTGAGCTCACATGCCATCTGTGACCGACGGTACCACCTGGAACTTCATGCACAAGTGGAGCCTGACCTCCACTTTGGCTCAGGGGGAGTGAGAGCTGTGAGCAGTTAGGTAAGACTTCCGAGTGCTGTCCATGCCAGTTGTCCCCAGAGAGGCACCAGGCCTCCTGTAGCCACATCCTATGGAAGCACTTGGAAAGGCTATATTTCATAACTCATGGAATCTCTAGAAGCACAAATCTGCAAAATTAAATCAAATCTTGAGTTGGGGTGACTGGAGGAACTTAATTCTCCACGTAACTGAAGTATTCAGGTTTGACCTCACAGCTTTACCAGAAAACAGACCAAGAGACAGTTGTAAAGAAGTGGGAGGGGTTGCACTGGAAGTATATAATGAATGAGACACAGAACCCAACATAAAATAGAAATAAGGCAACACGAGATTCACTGGTAATGAAGACTTTGGCTGTAATTAAAGAAAGGAGATGTATACGTCAAATTCCTCAAGGGGAAGGAAACTTTCTAATGCAGGGACATGCTGAAGACCAGGCTCCATGCTTTCAGAAAGAAATAGTGAAAGTAGAAGTGGAAGAGATACGGAGAGTTGCTATAAGGTATCTAATTAACACCAAATCGAGTATTTCAGAGACATGGTTTTGTGTCCTTTCGCACTTGACCAAAGGCAAATTCAGAACCATGATAGCTGCAGCTCACCTTGGGGCTCATCAAAGCAGTCGGATGCTTCAAATATGGCCCATCACCTTGAGTCGGCAAGGGCCTTCTTCCTCACCACCTTAGTCACCTAGAAAACAACCCTTCCTTAAACCGTGACTTCTCCAGAGGATCCTGGTGAGTTTGAAGCAAACAGCAGGCCTGGGACTGAGGGTGCTCCCTGCCTCCTGGTCCTCTGAGCTGTCTGGTCCTCCTCTGGACAGCTCAGGATCAAGCCAAGCTTTTTGCCTCAGACAATATCTCTGGAGTGAAAGCTACACTCACCACATAATACAGGGCCGGGCAAAAGTAGGTTTACGTTGTGAGTATGCAAAAGTTGATTCTTGTGTTATTTTCCATACGAACAACTGTAAAGCTACTTTTGCCCCACCCTGTATAAATCAGCTGCCTCACAGTCTAACATGTAGCCCAGGTGTGACTACTTGATATAAATATATAAGTTGGGGCTGAATAAACGTGTATAAATGAGTATATATATATATATATATTTAGCAATATTTGAAAAAATAACTAGTTGAAATGCGGCTAAAGATGCTTAGAAATGTTTGATTTTCATTGGTTGGCATCAGGATGGTAGCTGTCACGTTGGGCCCCAGAATGAGACAGGTGTCCTGCTGGCACGGAGAAATTAGACTAAGTTTATTATTTTATCTATTAAGCTCTCTTGCAAAAAAAGAGCAAACCAGTCCAGCTTTAAATTTAAGAAATAGAAACATTATTGGTGTTGATTCTACCAACATACTTTTTCAGAATCAGATTAACCCCAGGAGGTAATAGCTAATCCCTGTTCAAAGGTGTAGGAACTGAGGCTCAGAGATGACCTAAAGTGGTCAAACCACATCCACAGGAAGAGGCACAGGCAGCATTAGAATCCAGAACTTAATTAGAAGGACATGCTTTAAGGTTTTTTCTAAAAAGCCCTCTACTACAGTGTGATACCTGCTGATCAGAGAACATCTGGAAAAGTAGCAGGAAGGAAGAAAATGAGCTCACGATCCTGACTCCCAGTGGCGGACGCAGCAACATTTCGGAACACAATTTCCAGACCTTTGGTTGTGTATATTTTTTTTAATGTCAGTGTGAACACATGGCATATCAAAATGAAAGTATCAATATTTAAAAAATTAACATCTGATTTTAAAGGGAAAGCACACACATTATAGAAAGCTTGGAAAATACTGAAACGTATAAAGGAAGTTAAATCACCTAGAATGCTGTTAGCCAAAATAATCATAGCTCATATTTTCGTATACTCCCTTAGTTTTTTCCTGTTAATGTTCTTTTTTACATAGTAAAGCTCAGAATGTACAAGGTTTTTAAGTATGGTTAACAAAGATCTACGTGGGTGATGACGAAGGTCTTGGTGGCAGACAGTATTTGCCATTCAGATTATTCAATAGGTTTTCAAGAGGCAGAAAATAATCACTCCTGTCCCCATCTGTTCATATGACTATCAATCAAAACATCTGTAAGCCTTAAAGCCTTAAAGTTTCTACCAAGATGAACCCTGACATGGATTACCATGGTTTTTCTTGCATCACTGTAGGTATAAAACATTTTACAGGATAAGAATACTCCACACAGCCCTCGCTGGTTTGGCTCAGAGGTTAGAGCGCTGGCCCAAGGACTAAAGGGTTCTGGGTTCTGATTCTGGTCAAGGGCACCTACCTTGGCTGCAGGCTCGTTCCTCGGCCCTGTCGGGACACGTGTGGGAGGCAACCAATTGATATGTCTTTCTCACATTGATGTTTCTCTCTCTCTGTCTCTCCCCCTCCTTTCCACTCTCTCTAAAAATCAATGGTAAAAATATCCTCGGGTGAGGAGTAACAAAACAAAACAAAAAAAGAATACGCCATACATAAAGCTTTCAATAACATGCAAGAGCCCTTCTAGGGGAGGAATGACAGCAGCTGCAGCCTGATGAAAAGGTTTTAGTCTCCTACAGTGAAAAGTATATAATGTGCCTTAAACATTCTGCACACTTAAATTCACATAAAACAGGGTTAACAAGAAAATAAGACATGACAATGGCTCAAGGAAGTTCTAAATGGTATAACAGAACTGATCTTATATTAATAAAATTCCAAAGAGTTTATTATCTAAACTGAAAACAAAAACATCAGATGTACATAAAGTAATAAACCTTTACAACGGCTGTTAAGGAAAAGCGGTGAAGCAAGTTTACACGCGTCACTGCAGGCAAGCAAAGAGCGAGCGCTCCCGCTGGAATGTCGATCCCGTTCACACAGCGCCCTCTGGATTTAAATACTCATGACACACTGGATGAACTGAAAGAGAGAAAAGTCAGCATTACAATGCAGACCTCTTAAACTTATACACTCTAACTTATGTTTAAGCAACTTACATTTCGTATTCTAGTTTGAATTATGGATCTTTAAAAATCCTTTATAAAATAAAAGTAAATGACATATGGAAAGGCTCATTTTTTTGAGGAAAGCAGTCTAGTATAAAATCCAATGGGTGCCCTGGCTGGGTTGCTCAGTGGGTTGGAGTGTCGTCCCCATACACCAAAAGTTTACAGGCTTGATCCTGGTTGTACAGGAGGCAACTGGTCAATGGTTCTCTCTCTTTCTCTCTTCCTCCTCCCTCTCTAAAATTAATAAACATCCTTAGGTGAGGATTAAAAAAGAAAATCCAATGGGTTTCTCATGTCAAAGCTCACATCAGATCTTACTCCAATGTATTCAGAATTATTTAAATTCCAAAGACGACCTAAGACTCAAGAGATGGGCATGGCCAAGGTTCCTACTCACAAATAGAAATAACAGTTCAGTTTACACATTTGAAACATGTGGAGACTTCCAAACTGCACAGGGTTACCCCATTACTCTAACGGAGCTCCTTTAAACAGTGTACTCCCTTCAAATCTGCTTAATCAGTCAATGGAATGGTAGCGTGCGAGTGTATGTGTGCACAGAACAGAAGCTCTGACCCTTCTGCAGTTCAGAGACCCCAGCTCAGAAGCATCAGCATGTGCTGTGAAGTGCTTGCTTGCTCCGCCACTAAACACACACCAGCAGACTGGGCTTCTTATCAGTTTTCTTTTTCACTCTTCTAAAACCAGTGAGGACTGTGCACTGCTAATTCTGCAGCATTCCTGCAAGGCCCAGCTGACCACCCCCGTTTCAGAGAAAAAGAAACTAAGGATCAAGATGTTGAGGTATCTCTTAAGTGGCCCCATCTGAGGCCAAAGGCTCTGATTTTCCACTCCACAGGCTGCCTGTCCTTCGGAAACAGTGACGGGACTGTCACCTGAGAAGTTGCACATGAAAGAGAACACATCTTTAAGCAGAAAAAATAAACATATTTACACACAAGCCTTTTCAAAGTGTACTCCTAAGTGCAGCAGCTGCTGAGCCGAATTCACATGTATCTTTGTATTTTGTGACGGAGCAACATTTAGTTTATTCAGTTATCACAGTGACTTTATTCTAAAAGTAATTTTTAAAAAAATCAATGGCTTTCAAGCAAAAAATGGTGAAACAACTAAACCTCTCCCTTGCTTTGTTACGTATATCCAACGAATGCAATCAAAGGTGGCCCTCGGTGACCTTCACGCTGGTGGCATGGCCTGATCCTACCTCATTTACTGTGGCTGGTTAGTAAACCCTTGAGCTTGTGCCTGATGTCCTCCGTGAAGGACATGGGTGTGTCACATAGTGTCTTGAGCTCTTAAAGTTCCTTCTCAGTGACTGAGAAGAAGGCAAAAGCAGACACGCTGAGCGATGCTTTTCAAGGACATTTCTGATTGAAATCTCACAATAGCCGGGTGAAGAAGGTATTACTTCCTCCTCTCCCCTCACACAGGCTCGGAGCAATGCAGAAACCTGCCTGAGTGACCCAGCCAGAGCAGGACAAGCTGGGCTTTGACCCAGGCCTTTTTAATATACAGCAAACAGTGTTCTGTGGGTAAGATGAATAATAAATGAAATGGATAAATTCTGAATAACTCCTGATCACTGAAGCCTGGATTACTCTGGCACCCTTAAAATCTGCGGTTCTCAACCTGTGGGTCGCGACCCCTTTGGGGGTTGAACGACCCTTTCACAGGGGTCGCCTAAGACCATCAGAAACACATATATAATTACATATTGTTTTTGTGATTAATCACTATACTTTAATTATGTTCAATTTGTAACAATGAAATTGGGGGTCACCACAACATGAGGAACTGTATTAAAGGGTCTCGGCATTAGGAAGGTTGAGAACCATTGCTTAAGATGCTCCTAACAGTTAACTTTAAAGGGCATCCCATTTGGTGTGCATCTTATGCAGCTACTCAGTTCTGAATTTACTGAGACTTACATCATCATAGGGGAAATTCACAACACCTTGCTGAGAAGTATCCCGTCTTCGAAAGTTGTCTGTAAAACAGGACAGTAAATTAAAAAATATATGAACTAGCAATAGTTAATTATTTTGGCTTTGGATTCACACTGCAATAACATTTAAGTTGTACAACCAGCCAAAATAACCAAAGCAAAGAAGCCAATTATATGAACAAAAATAATAAACAACAAAGTAATACAATGTGCAGAAGTCGGCCATCTCTCTCCTTCAATGTGGAGCTGGAAGAAAACACTTTATCCCAAAGTCAGTAACAGCTGTGCGGCTTCTGAGGCCATTACTTAATGTTGATGAAAGCACAGATTTCAAAGTTCTTAATGTCATAGATGTTGTTTAATTAGGAAATAGGTGGTGAACGTACTATGGAAAATGGGCCGTGATAAAATATTCCACCTGAGCTCTGCCCTATTGAAAAGGATTTACTTTCATTAAAAAATCTGCCCTCAAATTTTTGTTAGGATGAATAAACATTCTACAACCTGATATTAAAAAGAGTAAAAGGAATGGAACAAGAAAAGGTATACAAGAGGAAGAAAAAGAATAGAGGGAATAGAAATGTATAGAGATTATTGATGTCTCATCATTTAAGAAATACTCCTGAAACAGATGACCACTATTTTAAATTACTTTCCATCAGGGGGAAATAGGAAAGAGAACTACAAATGAGTAATTCACTCTTTTCAGATATTTCACATACTAGGGAGAAATCACAGAATACTGCTCATACTCTGTCAAAAAATTAGTCTGTCATGTTTTGGAACATTTCAGTAAAATTCTGTCAGGATTTTTTTAATGGCAGCTCATGTACAAATCTGAAAAAAAAATCTGAAAAAATAATTCTGCTAGATGAATTGAATAGAAATGTTAAAAAGCCACTTAAGTTAGAAAAAAAAAAAGATTAGGACAATAAAAGTTTAGAAGCACTGAGAAATGAAATGTCATAAAAATGCGTGTCTTCTTGACCTATGGTGACGACACCGTCTCGAAGAACACACCTGTCAGGGCTCGCAGCTTGACACAGCAGGCGATGTAGTCATCAAAGGTGATCTTCCCATTGGTGCTGTATCGTTTTGCAATTGAATTCACGGCCTGGGGACTCAACCGAAATCCTGAAAGGAAGAAAATTCATCCAGCCAAAAGGTTAAAGGATGACAGAAAGATCATTAAAAAATAAGCACAATATTTTAAGACTGAGAGTACTATTAATACACAATACTTCTAGAATACAGAAACTGCCTTCATGCAGCAGATTTAGAAATTTTTTTAAAAATGACCCCTCCCCATACGCACCCATTGTTGTCAGGGCCTTCTGCAATTCTTGAGGATCCACCGTGCCACTCCTGTCGCTGTCAAAGCTGGTGAAGTGCTGTCTCCAGCCATTCAGGACAGACCAGAGTTCCTTAAATTCACTGAAACCCATGGTGCCTGACAGATCTCTCTGAACTGTAGTTAAGGATTTAGAGCATCTTTTTTTAGGGCAATATTTTCTAATGATTACATCAAAGATCAAGGATAAGGAAATTCAATGTTCTTTCTGCTACAACGGTTAAAAATGTTACAGGGCCTCTGGGAAAAGAGCTGAGTCCACCTTTTCATTGTGGGAGAAAAGATAATCTATGCGATATGATTACAAGGAAATGGCATGGTCACTGTGAGCTACAAGTAAAAAGCGCTCTTGTTCCTGGAACCGGTTGCACTTTCTGGATGCCCCAGGCTACGCGGCTCACCCTTCCATCCTGGGGCCCTCGTGGGGCCTAACGCTCCCTTGGTAAGCCCTCCCAGACCCACGGTTTTCACTTTAGCAAGTGAGGTGGGATGGAAGGCACCGGAGGGCCAGCACTTGCTAAACTGAGTCCAACAACTGTGCTGTGCAAATCCCACGGCTTGAAGGTCAGGTGCGAGTCACATAGAACAATCACTGCTGAAGCAAAAAAGCTTCCCGGACACTCCGAGTTCTACACTGCTCTCCTCGGCTGCTTCCTTATGCTGAAGCAAAAAAGCTTCCCGGACACTCCGAGTTCTCCTCGGCTGCTTCCTTGAATTCTGGAACAACCAACATCTTACTAAGCTCCCTTCCTTTCTCCAATTTCCACCTTAAAAGCTAAGGATTAAAAAAAATTGGTCATTTCTCACTGTGTTCATAAGGTATTAATTCTTAGAAGAATCCCTTTAGGGAGGAATTTTTTTGACAAGAAAAAATACTCCACACAACAATCCAGGTAAAGGATACATCCAGCATCGAAACCATAAGCCGACAAGTCTCCAGGTTAAAAGCTGTTAAATCAAGGAAAGTACATACTTATTAATACAATTTCAAAAATTCACACTGCATTAGATACCTTCAAATTAACTGGGAATACGATTTACACACTTTTGCTTCACAAGAAACGGGGCAGTGTTAGAGTTGAAACGAGAATGGCCATACAGTGATAACTGTTGAAGGTGAGTGATGGGTACATAGAAGTTCACTATATAATTATCTCTATCTTGAATAGGCTTAAAGTTTTCCATGGTATAGTCTTTTAAAAATATTATGTACCTTCTTACCTTTGATACTGTAATAGAGTGAGTTCAATTCACCATAACGAACCACAATGTACTTGTATTACACCCACCACTGTGAGTAGGAAGGTAGGGGTGCTTTGTTGCTGCTCATACTTGACTATAAATAGCTGGTTTGCTAGTTCTTTGTCTAATCATATTTTTCATTCTATCCCCTAAATTTAAAGTGAGGCTCTGAATGGCAGCCTCCTACCTCAAATAGCCTGACCTCTGTTCATAGGCAATAAGATTATATATGGAACCAGATAAACACGCTTGCGAGAATTGTGTTAAATAAGAGCGCTCTGGAGTAAGATGCAATGAGGACTTAGATGCTCCTTCCTCGTAAGAGAGACTTTGTAGAAGCAGCAGCCTTTAGGCCAAACCTTGAATGACAGAAAGATGGGGGACACTTGGTGACAGCCAAGTAGAGCTAGGGGCCAGCATAAGCAAAGACGCAGGAAAGTCCGGGGCAGGCAAAGGAAGTGGGAGGAAGTAGGTACCTTTCCATGAGGCTACACTACCTTGAATTCCTGATAAACTGTTTAGCTTTTATTTTTAGGCACCATGGAGCTACTCCAGGTTTTTAGAGGAGGAGAGTGACAAGTTAGAGTTGTTTCAGGAAGAACAGAAATCTGGTCATTTTTTGTGAAGGTTACAAAGGGAGGGAATGCGATGGGCAGTGAACAAAAGTGAACAGAAAATCCCCCATTCCAGACCATTCTAGGGACTAGAATGCTGATGTCTAATCAGTTTAGGTGAGGAAACTCTCACTCAATATTACTTGTATTTTCCCTTCAGAAAAAGCTTTTATTACGAGTTCTATTTTACATAATTGCAAAATAATCTTCACTGTAATTGTACCTTGACTCTCCTTCTCCAGTTCATTTTACTAGCATGGCTCACACACCTTTTCTTCTAGGAGGAACCCACAGTGTAACAGACCTCGCAGGAGAGCCCTGCCTCCAGCTGTTTCTCTGCGGCTCAGAGGAACAACTGCACGCAAGGCAAAAACAGAAGCTGAATGACTATCTTACAGATGAGCAACTGCCCTCATCAACTCCACCTCTAGGTATGGCTGCTTCCTATTATCAGGTTACAAAGGTGCCTGTAGGTCCTGGGCTGGAGTAGACCCCCTCGCCCCCCGCCTGTGCTGTTTCGGTCTGGAAGCTGGGTTTAAGAGACCTGTGAATGTGTAATTCCTGTATTACAAAACTCGGTCCGACAGCTGTCATGTAGGATGGCTCTGTGGTTCGGTACAGCCTCCACCACCAGATGAAATGAGCACATGAAGCTCATCACGTGGCCTCGGTGACTCAAGAAATACCTTCTCCAGAGCTCACATGGTCCTGATGACTCAGGCAATGTCCTCTCTAAAGCCACACCCTGAAGTGTTACTTTCTCAGATGAGATTTTTACAAGGACTGCTCTCCCAGGATGAACAAGCCACGTTGTTAGTCAGATTTAAACCTACCACACCTCCTCTACGGAGCGAGTGTAGAATAACAGTGTGCGCTGCGACAGGGCTCGCCTTGCTAAACCCTGTCATTAGACTGTCTGTTCACTAGCCTCAGCTGCTTGAAGTTAACGGGTAACAATGTGCATGTACTGCCTACAATAAAAAAAAAATCCCCTCATCTAGAAAGTGCTTCTTTTGTGTAGGGGTAGGACCAGATTAAATGGCAGAAATGTAAAAGCTTCCTCCTTTGTGTTAATTCCCCCAACTAGGAAATATTAATAGGATACTGAAGTCACATGAAACAAAGGATGAAACCAGAAATGCAAATAGTCTAAATAGAGAGCCAACTAGTAAGTGCGCCATGTCAAACAGTAAAAAAAATGCCACTACAAATCCTCAGGCGTGAATTTTCGTTTGGGAATTTTAATGCAGTTTCCCAGGCAGTGGGGGCTTCGATCGGATGTTCTGCCTCAATGAACAACAGGCAAAGAAGTTGGCAGCTACAGCACCTCAGTCAGGACACTATCGTGTGCCCTGGGTATCTGTCAGGGTCCAGAGCTGATCTGAAAGGAGGCGTGTGGGGGATGAGAACACACCCCCCCATCCGTTAAGGAGGCAGCCTCTTTGCAATGGTTCCCTATCTGCAGCTTGAGGCAGGGCTCAAAGGGCAGGACAGTGGTGTGAGTGCTAAGTCACAAGGCAGCAGATTCAGTCTGTGAGGAACTGCGGAGGAGGAGAAAGGAGGACTCGTGGATAGAGTTAGAAGTTAGGAAGGGAATGTCTTAGCCCAAACACATTCTCTGAAGTGGAAAGAGGCAAGACCCGGGAATGCCATGCCAAATATTCGTGTTGCCAGCAGCATGCTGAGACCAGGAATGCAGCCTGGCTCCCTGAAGACTAAGGGTGGACGACAGGACCCGCACTCAGAGCCAGGAGTGCAGGCAGGCCACTAGGGGACCAAGCCACTCAAAGCCCCGAGTGCCACCAGGCTCGGGACGAAGTAAGCTCTTGGCAAATAGTAGATGCTAGCTGTTGTGAACGAGAAAGGGACCATCACCAGCTATCGGGAGCCACATGGCAGGCCCGGCACACTCAGTGACCGAAAGTAACCGCACAGGATGGTCTGGTCATAAATTCCTACCTGGACAAGCCACGGGGGGTAGTCCCGTCCCAGGCCTGTATCTTCCTTAGCAAAGGTCAATCTTTACACTAAGTGAGCCCAGTCCACTGTGATGCATCTAGGACAGTGATGGCGAACCTATGACACGCGTGTCAGAGGTCACACGTGAACTCACTTTTTTGGTTGATTTTTCTTTGTTAAGTGGCATTTAAATATATAAAATAAATATCAAAAATATAAGTCTTTGTTTTACTATGGTTGCAAAGATCAAAAAATGTCTATATGTGACACGGCACCAGAGTTAAGTTAGGGTTTTTCAAAATGCTGACACGCCGAGCTCAAAAGGTTCACCATCACTGATCTAGGATAACATGCCTTTGAAATGTCAGAGTAATTTTCTTTCCCTAGCCCTGGAAGGCACAGCCTCAGGCAGCACAGCACCCCTCATTGTTACCTAACTCCCCACATACCAGCTCTAGGTGCTCTGAATGTTCATTATTAACTATCCTGTACTCACCAATGTAAAACCATGTGCTTCTCCATGTTGCCTTTTACCCAACCCTAGAGATTTCCCCACTTTGCTTTCTCCCGCCTCCTTAATCTACTACCAATGGATTTCATGTACCTTTCTTACATTTGCTCCCTTGATTCAAAATACATAAGAGAAATTGCAAAACTGCCATTCTCTGGAGCATTTTCTCAATTTGTTGAGATTTTGCTTCCGGCATGTCCTCAGCATTTTGGCTTAAATAAACTCTTATGAAACTTTTCTATAGGCAGGACATTCTCCTGTCATTAAAGACACCTAAGCTGTACGATTTCACTTCAGCACTTTAACTCACCCCTGTGAGGCCACGTAAACTGTTTCTGCTTCGCATGGTTCCTGTGAACCCAAATATGAGAATCCAAACCTAAGAAACCCACTAAATTGGCAGGTAGTGTGGAATGATTTATTAAGAACTGCATTCAGATTCACACTTGGAAATAAGAAACCGAATTTCGCTTTTGAAATTCTAAATGTTGCTGGATCGGGAAAGCTCACTTTCCTTGAAGGCTGTGATCATAAGCGACAGCTAAAATAGGAACCGCAAGAGCACGTCTAGAGAAACTCTGGGACTGGCAACTTACGTTTGTATCCTCCGGCGATGCCCGACTCTGTCAGGCATTTCTGCAATTCATCAGCATCTATTTGTCCATCCTTTTGAAAACAAAAATAGGAAGAGAAATCACCATAGTCATCTGTACCATCCAGTTCTCTGTTTACTTTCAGTATTCAATGTAGCAATAATAACCAAGAACATAAGTATTATCATACATGAAATTTTTTTAAAGAAATACATTTCAAAAATAGGCGTTCTTTTCTTCATCCTACTTCCAAAAATAATTGTATGATGAAATAAAGGCAACTCTTCCACCAATGGATAATTAGGGCCATAACAAAAAAAAATGCATTTCTTAATATCACTTTCAGACTCTATTTTAAATAATTATTACACAAGAATTAACACAGTCAGGAAGCTGCTAACACCTATACTTTATTATTACCAATATTACCAATATCTTTTCATCATTTCCTCTAAATTCCTGAATTAGATTTGGCATAAACACTCTCAAGTGTAAGGTTCCCCTCTTAATAAAACACCGGGGTGAATTCTGTTTCTTCCATTGATACTTGATATTTTCAAATGAATGAATACAAGTTTCTGACTTGTACTTCTCTTGTCTCTCTCTGAGCTAGGAAGTGCCAGAGTTAAGCATTTTAAAATAAAATAATCTATGTAGTTGCTTAAATTCTTATTCTAGTTTTTTTGGGGGAGGGGAAAGCAGGGCACACAGCTGACATCAACAAATGAAAGGCATGGTTCAGAGAGAGAACTTCCTGTTCACTTTGCTTATAGTGTGGTGAATGGTGTCTTCAGATCATAACTATATATATATCTGGGAGAAACAGGCTCCCCGGGCCTATTCATTGGCTGGCCTAGGCCTGAGCCAGGTATATATTATTTCTAGGGATTTAAAAATAAAACACCTAATTCCTCAAGTGCATATAAGTTCTAAGTGGGGAGCAGGGTCAACAATTGGAAAGGCCAGGGATATGCTGATACAGGCCAGGCTGTGAAAGCTAAGCAGGTGGGGTCACTTACAGGGCTGGAGGCACAGGCCATCTAAGAATGTGAGTCTTGAGCTTTGCTGTGTCTTGTGGTTTCAAAGATACAGATCATTAACAGATTAAGGAGATACTTCAAGGGAAGCTCTTTCAGTTTTAGACTCAATTTTCCACTCAGTTTCTCAAACTGAATTTCTTAGAGTGCTGTTCTAAAACCTGGTCTTAGGCTTTTATCCCACACTTTCTATGGCATTCCCACATTAAGACTGTGTTACTTCTAGCTTTTGACCAAAATAAAGCTAAGTTGAATTTATATGAGCAAATGCCTCGGGACATATCTGGGTTACACCTACAGCATATTGACCATACACAGTGACCTCCTGAGCCGGGGAAGTGACCTCCCTCAATGCCCACCACCCCCTGTCAAACCACTCAGAATTCAGAGAAGTGAAAGCTCCTGGGTAAACAGGCCACAGCACCTAATAAGGACATAGAAGGCTGACCTAGTAACAGCACCTCCTTCAAAGTGAAACTAAACTGTTCACAAGATTAACTTCCTGATAGTAAGAAGAGAGTAGTACCTTTCTTATTTTGAAGCTGGTGGGTTTTTACCATAAATACCTATTTCCTAAAGGGGGTAACTGGTTAACAATCAAGCTCAACCCAAAGAAAGTATCCATTAGAATCTGGCTGTAGAAGTCTACTAGTACATCATGCCTTTAAGTTGTACAAACAGGGGTTTGTGGTCACCAGATTGGCAATTTCTTCTCTGGAGACCACCGTGGTCTCAGGTGTAAAGACATCTTTCTACCTCACAGATCTCCTAAGGGTATTAATAATCCCCTCTTGTGTTCAATCGGACCCTAATCCAATCCCAAGTTTAGTTTTGAAGTGAACTAAGGTCAACACCAGGAACACTTTGTCCTAATTTGTTCTGAATATTCGGAAATAAGTAACTAAGCATTTCCCCCTCTTTTTCTCTTCGGCAGAAGCAAAGGGATTCTTTTCCAGAGGAAAGGTCGTTTTACTGGCCCCTACAACAAAGACTAATACAAATGTAGAGTCTGATAATTCTTAATATTAAAGGGAAAAGCTAACCTGTCCAGCTACTGCTGCAAAGTAACCATACAGCGGATCCTGCGTTTGTCCGGGAAACGTTGGCCCTCCCGGGGCCCCTCCATACTGTAAAACAGGAAACACAAATTTAGTATCATTTATTCCACTGAACCAAGTTTCATTCCTTCCCCACTGGGTGCCTTTGTGCAAAGCCAAGCGATGGCCCGCCCTCCCCGTCCTTTGCCTCCCCACCTCTAGTTCCTCTTCTATAAAACGGAGATTAAGAATATTACCTGCCTCATGTTCTGTTTCTTGATCTGGGTGATATTTATTTGGGTGTGTCTACACATTCTTTTTGTGATAATTCACTGAGCTGTGCGTTTTTTTCTCTCTCTACCCCCTTCCTTCCATGCTCGCTCCAGTAGGATTTACAAACTGGAGGCTTGGACCAAAACGAATTGTCCTGAGGTGACATCGGCATAAGCGAAGCAACTGAAACCCCCCTTTTAACCTTCAGGTCACTGAAGTCAATGCAACCTAGGCAAGCAATTTAAAAGCAAACTTAAATTTATTTTTATAGCGTGCTATGGCATTTTCAAAGCGTCTGGGGACAGGTGTAGCCAGGAAGGGGTAAGGTGTGTCTGGGTCGGGCTATTTGCCCGGGAGGGAACACTCTGTCTTGGAAACAGTTCCCAGGACAACGCGCATCCCGGACGCGGGGCGAGGGGGCCCTCCTCCAGGGGGCCTTTGACTCGGGCGATCTTTCCTGACCAGTTTTCCCCACTTTCTTTTAAAGGAAGAAGCAGGTCTCTGGTCCATCCTAGGTTAAAATGGCTGTAGCTCTTAGGGAAAACACAGAGGGAGGGGCAGGAAGCCAACACCCCATCTGCACAATTTCACGCCCCGTATCAGAGAGTCCCAGGGTGGGCTTCTGGGGTCCAGATCCACCCGCGCCGTGGCCCCGCGCAGCCGCCCGCGGGGAGACGGAGGGGACGGAGTGAAGGAGGGAGCCAGAGAAACAGGCCAAAAGGGCCGGGCGAGGCAGCGGGCA